CACTCGGCACACGAGTACTCGCGTCACGCGCACACAGCCCCGGCTCCCTGCGCTTAAAAAATAAAATAAATGCCTGGAGTGTCAAAAACCCTTGGCTTTTGACTCCCAGGCCTGGGAGCCCGGTCCGGTAGGCAAAGAGATTTTGTGGCCATGGGCTCCGGGGGGATCACCACGCGAAGGCTCTAGCTTAGAGCAGCCTGCAGCCCCCAAGCGCCCGCCCGGGAAGCCCGGGGAGAATGCGGGTTTGGGCGGAGGGCAGTCCTGCTTGGCCGGAGGTTAAAGGCCCTCCTCACTCAGCCCCGGAGAACCGCCGCCAGGAAGCGAGCGGGAGGGGGGCTGTCTCGGAGGCAGGAGCACTCATCCAGAGCTTCGCTGGCTACGGTCTCTTTTCATGGGAACCTCCAGGGAGTTCTTTTATGCAGGCAAGTGTGGAAGCGCCTGTCGCCCCTTCCGAGAGACTTGGCTGCCCTCCCAGATTTCTTCCTTCACTTCCCCCACCCTCTAATCGACTCCCCCAAATGAGCCAAACAGTAAGCAGTCCCAAAACTCTAGTGTAGGCCCCTGACTCTTGTCTGGGACCGGGAAGGGGTGGGTGGGGGTGGGGGCGAGGATGGGTTCTAGCAGCTGGAGCAAGAGAAGGGCAGAAGTGGTCACCATTGTTTCAAACGAAGTGAACTTGAGAGCTTCCTGTTTGCCCCTGGAGGTTCGTCCTCAGCCTTTATTATCTTTGAGGTTCTAAGTTAGGCCTGAGAAACCAGGTCTGATGTGCCATCGCGTTTGGGTTATATCTGGAAAAGTAAACAGGAGTGTTCAGGTCACTTGATTTGTTTTCTGTAAGCAAATAATACCCAAAAGCATGGCTGTAATTTACCACGAATTAAAATTGATTCTTTTCATCAGGCAAGAAAATAGGAAAATGTGAGATCGTTAATTATTGAGGGAGGCGCTGCTCATTAAGGGGAACAATGTTACAATTCAGCATTTAATAGCGGGAATGTGAGTAACTACACGCCATATCTCAGCCCACTGCCTGCAAAGAAAAGAGAGCCGTTTACAAACAAGCCACGCAGCCCAAAGTTACATTTAATAAACACCCGAGGTTTCCGTAAGTGGAAAAAGCAATTAGGGTGCCGGGCACAACACCGATTCTTCAAAGAGCACCTGGTATATATTTTTATTCTGTCTGTCTGACTCTACAAAGGATTCAAAATCAATGCAGATATACAATTAGAGGGGGGAAAACATCAAGAAGTATAAATCTAAATCGGTATATATCCATCATTGAAACACTTGCTGCCTGGTCCCACCTTCCCATCCAGTCACACCATATTTCTAAATCTTGCTCTGTACTAGGATGGCAGAGCAGGAGAAAAAAAAAAACACTGATTTCTGATTTTTATAGTTTCTGTTTTCCTAGTTTACATAATTAGCCACCAAGGGTTTATATATGTAAATCTATACCTCTCAGAAAGCCGACTTCTCAAAACACTACAAAGTTCTCTGGCTTGGTCTGGTCGCGGGTTCCTTGGCCTTTGTGCTTCCTTCAAAAGGAGAAGGGGAGGAAGAAGAAAGGAAAAAAAAATGATTTCCCTGTGCATCGCCCCTTGGCAGGCTCTTGCACAAAATTCAATCTCTATTTTTTATGAGAATAAACTGTCTAAATAAATTTTATTAGGGGCAACCAATATATTTTCTGGTAGTTCCCTTTGTTCCACTTCTACGTGTGTGTAACAATCTAAAACCTATTTATTGAGGAAAAATCACTGGATCCGTCATAGAAAATCCTTTTACTTTGCTTTGAAGTGATTTCTGAAGACATTATTGTCATTCCGAAGATTTGGGGGTCATTGCGCGAAAACCTCGGCTTGTTAGGGACTTCAGTTCCCATGATCATGTGGGAAATGCCTTAAATTATCAATAGCAATGGGCCTGACCGGCACTTTCCCGGCTGCCCCAGGAACGTGGGAAGATGACAGGGAATAAAACTCTGGTAAATACATCTCAGGCCCTGCCCAGGTGGATGCAGGCATTGGCCAAAACGAGCTGCAGAGGGGCGAGCATTTTACATCCAGACTCTTGTCGTTTTCCTCGCCACGCCCGCTGGCTGCAGGCTCCTGAATCCCGGCCCCGCTCCAGCTCCAGCTTTCAGGCTCCCCACCTCGACGCCCCCACACCTCCTTCCTCACCCCCTCCCACTCTCAGATTTCCTTCTCTCCCCCCACCCCTTTCCTTTACCTCTCCTCCCTCCCCCACCCATGCTTATGTTCTGAAGTCTTGGGAGAAATGATTTAGTTTGTTTATACTGCTATAAAAATCAAGACCAATAGAAAAGTCATAAAATGAAGCGGGCTATCAATCACGCCGCAACATTGTTATTCAGCGGTTACTAACAGAGATGGATAATCCTTTGATTTCGTCCCATTGTTATTACTCTGATGTGTCTTCACATTAACTATTACACATTTATTTATCGACCTGAAAAATACAACAAAACAGAATATACGAGCTGTGCGTGTGGGAGAACGCTGCCTGCCTGTGGTGGTTCTGGGGGCGGCCGTGGAGTGAGGACACACGCGCTTGTTGCACATTGGGGTGGACGAGTGGGGGCCCCTTCCTTCTCCTCCCTGGTCTTGGCCTCTCCTCCCTCCCTCCAGACAGGGATGGGGTCTCCGCAGTGCAGTGCGGGCCTGCTCAGAGGTGCTTGTTTGGAGAGGCCAAGCCAGGTGCCTCTCTCAGGGCCCCTGTCTCTTCCTCTGACAGGTCTCTGCACCTCCGCCCCCTGCGTTCGGGTCTCAGATACCCTCCCCTCCCCATCCCACCCTACCCCACCCGGCACAAACCCCCAAGAGCCCTCGGGAACATGCAGCCAGGTGCGCACTCAGACAGCCCTGCCTAGGACCTCTATCTGGCCTCCTGCCACGCGTGCCCAGCACTGGAGCATCCAGATTTGGGGTTTTGTTTTGGGAAGGGGAGGATTTTATTGCAGGACTCTATTTGCTTTAGGTCTAGATATTTTCCTTTCAAGCAAGAACATCCTCGCGGCTCCCAAACACACAGCCACAGCCCAGATTCCGCCGAGCTGGAGCCCGCAGTTCCAGGGCTCCAGCCCCACAGAGGCCGCGCTGGCAGCAGCTGCGGTGGCTGCTGAAGCTTGGCCAGGCCCGGAGCTTCGGGGGAAATGGTCTCCTCAGCTCAGAAGGATCCGGTGTGTGACTGATGCCCCGCACACACACGTGTGCGTGTGCATGTGCGTGTGTGTGTGTGTGTGTGCGCGCGCGCGCGCGCGCGCGCGTGCCCACGTGCGTGCGTTGTGCGCGAGAGGAAGGGAACGGGCTTCAGGAGAGGAGTTCCATTGCCGCCCCAGAGTTCGCATTGCCACCTCCTTTGTCTCCTTGCTAGGTCCCTGTCACACACACAGCTAGCGGGGGTGGGGGGGTGGGGGGGGGTGGAGGGATGGACGTGCGCGTGCGATCACACACACACACACACACACACACACACACACACACACACGCACGCTCGCACTTCGTCTCGCATCTGCTCTCAGGCAGTATTTCCAATGTTTTGTGTAAGTCAATTGGACAGCGAACAAAAAAAGCCATTTGCTAGGCATTATTTAAAGCAGACTTCATAAGGCCACCCTTTTGTGGAAGCTTTATTTGTACTAAATGAATAATCTTAATTGCATCACTCTCGAATTAAAAATCAATGTTAATCAAGTTGAGAGTAGTAAATATCAGTTTTCATTGTGCCTGGGTAGAGGGCATTTTTTCTTGTGTTGCAAATAAAAATACAAGTCAAATAACTTTAAAAGGGCATTATGTTCTGCTACAAATACAATTGAAACGGATTGTTTAGGCGCAGATCAGAAATGGTACAGAATTTTGCACTTAATTTCCTCAGTTATCATTTACAATAAGAGCCTCTTGGCTTGACAGCCAAGTCTAAACAGTAGTAAATTAGTACAAATTTATACTGATTTTACTCTAATAATCGTAATAAAAGCTTATAGATTTGGCACTAATTACATAAATGCCTAATGATCTTGAAAATTACTCTGGTTAGAAATATATTACTAATCTAAACTTTGTTGTTGGCTGGCTCTGAAAAATCAGAACATTAGAAATGGTTCGCTTCACTTGTGCAGAGCACTTTAAATTGTTCAAGTAGTTTAACATATTCAAGAGGAAAATAAAGAGCATTTAACTTTATTTACAGCCTTAAGTGGAGTTGAGAGCGGAGCAGAACTTAGAAACTTTGACCAAAAAGAGAGGGTCCTGGGGAAGGACACTAGCGCGCGCCAGGAGGAACAGAGGAAGCGGGAAGGGAAGGGAAGGGAAGGGAAGGGGGTAGAGTTCTTGAATGAGTAGCACGGCCTTCAGGCGCAGGAAGCTCCGGGAAAGTTGACAGGATTTTTGCGCTCTAGGCCTGCGGAGGGCCTGGGAGCTGGAGGTGGGCTCGGGTCCCAGCAAGGCCTTCTGGACCCCAGGCCCAGGCCTGCCGGGTGGCAGCGGAGTGCACGCGCGGTCCGGAGGCCGCGGTGTGCTCCTGTGCTCCGGGTCGGCAGGCTCGCTTGGCCCAGGGCTCGGAGGTGTCCCTGGAGCAGCGGGCGGAGAAAACCCTCAGGTCACGCGGGGGTCATGCCCTGTGCTGCCCAGAGCCTTGTCTCAGCCCGGGAGGAGTCTAGCTCAAGGAGACAGCGCCGCGCCTTTGGAGAGAGCGGGGCGGAACCAGGAGGAGGAACGGAGCGCCTGGATGAAATCGCTGGGAAACGCTAAGGGAGGTTGGGCCCAGAGGCCGAGGCGGCCTCTGCTTTAGCGGCTGCTCGGGCCCGGAGCCTTCGGGCCGGCGCCGCCGCCGCCTCCTCGGGGCGGGCGGGCGGGCGGGCGCGCGGAGTGGGGGACTCTCCGGGCGCTGACATTTGCAGGCTGCCCTCCTGATTGGTCCCCTCGCCGAGCTGCTCACGGGTTCATTCAACTGTTAAGCACCTCCCCGTCTCTCTAAAGGACATTATAATGCAAGAAGCCCCCTTTTTAACCACAAACCGAATTTTCTTTCATTTAGGTGATCTATATATATCTATATAGTATAGCTTATAGCTTATATCTATTTTAAATAACTTAAAGCCGCTAAAATTTTGGGGGGAACAGCCTTCGCCCTGGAGCGGTGCGCGATGCTGTCTCACGCCGACCTCCTGGACGCCAGACTAGGTGAGTGCGCGCCTCTCGCCGCCGGGGCAGCCAGGAGAAGACGGGGCAGGAAATTGTCAATTTGTTCCTTATTTTACCTTAATGCGCCCTAAATGGACTAATTTCTTTAAAAGTAATTGTGCTGCATTAAAGTTTAATTTGATTTAACATCGTCTTTTTTAAAAAAAAAATCTATGTAATATGTAGATCCGGGAAAAGGAGTTGGAAAATGTTACTTTTTTGTTATTGTTATTTTTTTCCCTCCTCCCCTCTCTCCCTTATTACTATTATTATTTTTGGAAAGGCGATCCACCCCATCGTCATTTCTTTGGAGGTGTTTTTCTTTCTCTCTTTTCTCCGTCCTGTCTGCTTTGATTTGGTATGTCTTTCTTCTCTTTTTTTCTTTCCTTTTCTCTCCCCCCCCCCCCCTACCATTTTCTCCTCTCCTCATCTAAGTGTGATTGAATTTGTAAAAATCTGGGATGAAGGAGAAGCCGCTGCAATGGAAGCGGAATTGCTAAGTGTGTTCACTGAGAGAAGAGAAAAGCCAAATTCATCCTCCTCGCGGGCGCCGCCGCCTGCAAAAGACTCAGGCGGCACCGCCCGCGGCCGAGAGGAGCGCGCCTTTTATTTCTCCGGGAAGAGAAGTTGAATTCCCTAAAGTTTGATTCACTGCTGGGTCTGCTGAATTTACTTGAGTTTCTTTTAATACGGCCCGGGTTTCCGGTTTGGGAGTCTTCGGTGATGGATGTGACTCCATTTTCCAAACACTTTCTCTGATTTGAGGGGGAGGCGGAGCTGGTTTGGGTTGATTTCAGGGGGTGGAAGGCTTTGGGACTTATTCATCTTCCGAGAGGCAGAGGGACTCGCTCCGGGCCGGAGGTAGATTCCGTTCAGCCGCCTGAGCACATGCAGGTGGGCCAGCCACCCAGGAACGGCTTACATTTTCTTTTCCTTTATTTTTCCCGCACGGACGTGCTCTCGGGTTCCTGGGCGCCGGGGCTATGATTCCAGAACGGGACGCCGAGGCGTGCCTCGCCGGGCCGGGGACTGTGTGGTGGTGGGAGAGGGGAGAGCACGTGCGGCTTTCCGGAGCGGATGCGGACCGAGGGGAAAGGGCCGGGAGATGGGGTGGCCGCTGGCAGCCCGCATCCTGGGGAGCCCGGCCGAGCGCCTCCGGAGTTTCCTTCGCAGGACGAGCGTGGGAGCGGAGGGCGGCGAGGACGGGGCTTCGGGAAGGAAGGTAGTGACTGCGATCTCCTTGCCTCCGCAGGTATGAAAGATGCCGCCGAGCTCCTGGGCCACCGGGAGGCGGTGAAGTGCAGGCTGGGCGTGGGGGGCTCCGACCCCGGGGGCCATCCGGGCGACCTCGCGCCCAGCGCCGACCCAGTGGAGGGAGCCACCCTGCTGCCCGGGGAGGACATCACCACCGTGGGCTCCACGCCCGCCTCGCTGGCGGTGAGCGCAAAGGACCCGGACAAGCAGCCGGGGCCCCAGGGCGGCCCGAACCCCGGCCAAGCCGGCCAGCAGCAGGGCCAGCAGAAGCAGAAGCGCCACCGGACGCGCTTCACCCCGGCGCAGCTCAACGAGCTGGAGAGGAGCTTCGCGAAGACCCACTACCCCGACATCTTCATGCGCGAGGAGCTGGCGCTGCGCATCGGGCTGACCGAGTCCCGGGTGCAGGTACCGCGGGGCGGGCACGGGGCGGGAGACATGGGCAAAGGAAGCGGGCGGGAGGATCTGGGCAAAGGAATTGGGTCTTTCCTTCCCCTGCCGCGATCCTGGGCTTCTCCTCTTCAGAAACCTACTCGTCCCGGGCCGAGTTCGCTCCTCTGCCGCGGAACTGGCCCGGATCGCCGTCTTCCAACGGACAGGCAGGGCCTCGATCTCCCACCCATATAACCGCATCCCAGCAGAAACTCCTCCGCAGCGAAGCTGGCATTGTCCGCTGCCGAGCCGCCTTCTTCCTCCCCATAAGGGAGCCTCGGAGTCCCCCACCCTCCGTGTCTCTCCAGGCGGCTAAGCCGAGCGCGCACTTCCACTCCAGCTTGCGTTATTGACAAGTATTTCATTACCCTCTAATGAGTTTGTATTAAGCATCTAGATAAATGGAGGAAGGCAACAATTATACAGAAACATGGAAAGGAAAAAAAGTAAGGCGTGGCGGCACCTTTTTAAAAAGATCCACACCTGCGTTTCACGGTGTTTTATTTTGCTGAATATCACCCTCCCTCGCTCTCGGGCAAAAAATCCCCCAGCTTTGATGTTTTCAAAGAACTTGAACTTCAGTGGTGCAACCAATGCGCTAAGGGCGGCTGCAGCGATCCCCCACAGCCTCTCATACTTGGCTTATTCCTAAGGAAACGGGGGGAAACGAAGGCTTTCTGTTTTGGATATCCGAGCTGAAGACAGTGTGTTTAGGGCGGGAAATATTGAACAGAGAGTAGACAAAATCATTACTGATCCCTTGCCTTATTCTTGTCCAACTATCCTCCAAGTTGTAAATTATATATATAACAAAAAAAATCACTTCTTCAACCTTTCTGTAAATTGGTAAATAAAAGCATAAGCCTAATGAATCTAGTTTCTCCCGCTTTTTAAAAGAATGAAAAGCAATGTATCAAATATTTTATGGACAAGTGCTGGAGGCGAAATTTCAAGACACACGCTAGACTAGTATAATCATGAGCTATCCAGGGTGCTGAAATCCTGCGTTGGATTTGGTAGTTTCTGTCCGCTAATCCTGGGCTTCAACCTCAGCTCTAGATTCTTTTACAAATTAAGTTTAAATATCTCGGTTACTTTATATTTGATCTAAGAAGAGATAAGGGTGTCCATAATTACAGTGATGAATATTTCTGCCTCCATTGGGCATTTTAAAGATAGTCTAACCTAGAAAAATAGTGTGTGCTTCTGTTCTAAATAGCCAGCAAATGAATGTCTTTGGGTACTTAAAGTGGTCAAATTAACAAAGTAATATTCAGGTATAATATAGATTAAAATTTTTACTCAATGTAAGACTGGTTGGTTTCCTTAGTGAACACTGGAAGCCCTGAACCATGGGCCTTTGATATTAAGCACCAAAAGAATGTTAATTGCATTGTGCAGATAAATATTACTAATGCTTTTAAATTTTTTCCTTGAACCTCTATTTAAATCTGAAGTTGAGCCCAAAATTTAAAAATTACATACCATTTTGACACTTCTATTACTAATAATGATAACACCAGCTTGTTAGAATCTTATAGATTCAAAATTCATAAATTTATTTTTTGTCTCTCAAGAGAAAAACTATCTAATAATTTTTGTTTTAAAGAGTAAAATGCTACTGCTTAACCTAGACATACTGATAATTAGCTTAAATTAAAATAGAATTTAGAATCACAAATAAAATATAATTGGACAACTGACTTTATGAAAAAAGAAAACGAGTCTATTAAACTTTATTAGATCTTCCAAAGGTTAACGGCAGTGAATCTTTTAATAGAAAAAGTTGTAAATGAAATAAAATACAAACTATATAATTGGAACAGTTATTTTCAAAAAGTACACAAAAGAATAATCAAGAAGAAAGAGACAAAGTACTTTAATTGTTCTAACATAATGCTCAGCAAAGATAATAGCTTGAGGCTGCTGATAGGAACAATTTAATAGAATGGCAATTTCAATATTTTTTAAAAATAATGTTCCATAGTTTAAAAAGTAATCAGATCAACATAACCTTTTTAATTAACATTTCAAAATGATTAACATTATGTAATGTAATGCAAAAATAATTTATGGAAAATGTATTTACTTCACAATTCACTCTACCATTGCTCCTTGACCAAATTTAAATTAAATAGTAATTGGTTTATGTTCTTATATGATGAGTACTTCATAGTTTTCTTTATAGTTAACAGATTGCCACACATTCTTTTCAGTATGTGGGCCACTGCACTGATTAAAAATGATAGAAACATTTCATTTATGGCAATTCTATATTTGTAAGGATGCTTTCTGGTTGTAGACTAAATGTTCCAACATACTTATTTTTTTAATCTATATCTGGTATATATCATACTTTTAAGTATTAAAGCACCTATACTCACATGGAGGCCAATTCCATGTCTAATATTGCTCCCCTTTTCTGGCTAGTATAATAAAACCATTCCTTTTATAGCATGCCATTATTAGAAACCAATTTCAGAATTATTTATAACCTGGAATGGCTTATTAAGCAGCAATGCGAGAATCATGCAAATTACGCGATCAAATGCAATATAATAAGCATAATCATTAGTCTCTAGCACGGATTAATTAACTTTCAATATTTTATTTACATAAAAACCAAATCAGTGAAATAACTTCTGCACAGTCAGGCTTGCCTTTCAATATTTTATAGGAACAAAAATAATGTGCTGTAATTCCATTGACCGTGTCTCCCAGAATGGCCCTGTCACCTGCCACATCTTAATAGGGGGACAAGCTAAGAGTATTTTCTAGTTTTCTAATGGAATGAGAAATTGCATTTTCTTCCTCTCCCAGCACTATTAAAGTGTAATGAATTCGGCCCAGAGTTCACGGCTGGCTGATCGAAATGAACCTGAGATCTAGGCTTTAATACAGCTCCCCAGATTTCCTCCCAAATCTTCACATTAATCATTTGCTGGATTCCAATGAGATCTTCATAAAGCATTTGCTTGGAAGGGGGAAAAAGTAATATTCTCTCCTTCTCCCTCTCTTTCTCTATTTCTGAGCCATTTATAAGTGGGAAATTAAATGGGCTATATATTTTAAAATACATTTACAGTATGTCTATATTACTGTAACAGCAGATATCACAAAAGTGGATTTTTAAATTCCAACCTCCATTAGATTCTCACTGTTGTATTAAGCATTTTCTGAGAAGAGCTGCATTTCAAACTGAGTACAAAGTTGGCCCGTGGCTGCGGTTAATATATTTCCGGGAGTTGTCATCTGTGCATTCTCAAAATCTCCCTTAGGTTTTGCCTGCATTTTAATCCGTCATGCTCTAGTTTTCAAGTGGAAACATTCACATTTTAAAAACATATGCATCATAGCTTGGAACGGAGGTGCTCAGACCCCATGAAGACTTTTTCCCCCATCCCCAGTAAGCCATGAAACATAAAAAATTTTGTAGCCATCATTTGACTACTAACCCTCAAACGTAATTGAGCACTATTTTTCAAATATTCCTACAATATTTAGTTGGTTTTATTTTTTACAGCTGTTCTTTTCCTCCGGTGCCTGAGATTCAGAAACCTTGCGGGTGGGTGTATTTTCTACTGAAATTCTAACGGGCCATCTCTCCCCCTTCTTTCTTCTGCTCCTCTCCCCACTTCCCGCACACAAGTCCACCACCTCCCTCCTCTGCTGTCCATCCTAAACATTCAAGCATTTCGGGGTTCACTGAAACTTGCAAGGTGTTAGAAACAGGCGATTCATTTGAAGCTATCTTTCAAAATATATCCCGGTGAGGTGTGGAATCCTTTCGTCTCTGTCTGGGGCTTCATCGGTTTACCTTTCCCCACTCCACCTTGGGTGGGTAATATTATACAAAGCGACCAGTGGCCATAGGTCTCCTCGCACTGCTATCCTTGGCTCCCGGGGGTTGCCCTCCACAAAGGGCCTCTAACAGCTCTATCCCCCGCCGGCTGCATTGATCCCAGCCACCACCCAGGCCCTGCTGCCTCATTAATCCGCTGCGCCACCAGCTCCAGGCGCTTTAGCAGGGAAGGGATGGAGTCTTTACCCAACCCGGACACTGGTGTAAACAGGAACATGGGACATGGGGGAGAAAGCAGAGAAATATAAAACGGTGGGCGATGGCCCCATATGGTAGAACAGGCCAGGGCCAGCCCAAAGGCAGGCAGAATTCTAGACTGCAAAATGCGTTTCACGCTGGTAAGCCGAGAGTGCACGGCTGGCTTACGGAGAAGGGGGTCAGGTACGTCCAGACGCATGATACTGTAGCTTTCAGAATAAACATGAAAGAGCTTCGATTAACAACGGAAGAATAACCTTTTGGCCACAAATAGGGTGGTCAAATTGCATTGGCCAAATTCTAGGACAAAACTCAATCAGCATTTGAGCTATGCCCCTACCATTTACATGTATGCACAGTAAACTTCCAACTGACTAGGTAGTACATCGAAAGCCTGCCAAGTAAGCATGCTGGCTAATTTTTATAAAAGGTCAAATTAAAATATGGAAGATGAGAGTTTATCTTGATCAGGCAGTCAACTTTCAGGAAGAACATTTCTTTTCCTTTGGTGGTGAATGTGACTTCCATAGGTTAATTTGTTTGGCAAGGTCTGAAATTCCAGGCTCGTTGTTAAGAAAGAAAGAACGCACAGGAAGCTTATTTTTATTTGCAGTTTATTTTTTATCAAACACATCTCATTTAAAAAGACATGGGTTTGTCTAGCAAAATTAAACGTGACTCATAACTAGGGTGAGCTTTAAACTGACCTTTCATTTATAGTAGTCAGAAGATTTCTTTTGGTTTAAAGGTGAAAGGGCGAGGGCGGAGGGAGAATTGGAAGCCTTGTTATTTGGGGTCCTCAGTAAGTTCCGGAAAAGGACAGACTTGAAGGCCCTGGGGCTCAGGGCTCTGGCAGCAGGCTGCTGCCCACCTGCACCGTCCAGATAAAGGTGCCTTTTGAGGGCTTTGCGAATGAGGCAGAGGCTTGTGTCAGGAGTGCCTTTTGCTACATGAATCAGAAAGTCATGGCGGTGACCCAAACCACGCTGTAGCTCAGTAGCGCTTGCTTTCCCACAGAATCACTGCTCTGTCACCCGTGGCCGTTAGGGGTTTTTCCTTTGTCTTTCGATTTTGAAACTAGTTATGTCATGCACGGCCCTTCATCAATTTCCAAATTTCCAGCGTTTCTGAAAATTCTATACCCCAATCAGTGTTATAAGGCACGCCATTAAGCCACATGGGTACACATGTTTATCTTCATTTGTGCACCTGTGGATCAGCCTTGACACATGCCTGCCTGCAGACCTGTGTGCATCTAAGCCGCGTACAGACTGCGCCAGCCAGCAGGGCCGTGGGGAACACTGAACACGGGGTGTGTTTACCCTGCGTGCAAGCGCCTGGAGGCACGATCACTTAGGAAGAGCGTGGGCCCTTGGAGGGTGCAAGGGGCGCTGTTGGAGAACCAGGGGCTCTGGCTGGAAGTGGGGGCGTGTCGGATCTAAGGCGCTTATTCCGGACTGAGTTGCGGGGGGGGGGTATCTGACCCTATTTCTCGGACATAAGTCCTCCCCCGCTCCCATCCGTGGCCGATCCCTAGCCGGGCCGGCTCCCTAACAGCGCCCTGCCTGTCTCCCCCCCGCCCGCTGCAGGTCTGGTTCCAGAACCGGCGCGCCAAGTGGAAGAAGCGCAAGAAGACCACCAACGTGTTCCGCGCGCCCGGCACGCTGCTGCCCACGCCGGGCCTGCCTCAGTTCCCCTCGGCCGCCGCCGCCGCCGCCGCCGCCATGGGCGACAGCCTGTGCTCCTTCCACGCCAACGACACGCGCTGGGCGGCGGCCGCCATGCCCGGGGTGTCGCAGCTGCCGCTGCCGCCCGCGCTGGGCCGGCAGCAGGCCATGGCGCAGTCGCTGTCCCAGTGCAGCCTGGCCGCGGGGCCGCCGCCCAACTCCATGGGCCTGTCCAACAGCCTGGCGGGCTCCAACGGCGCGGGGCTGCAGTCGCACCTCTACCAGCCCGCCTTCCCCGGCATGGTGCCCGCCTCCCTCCCCGGCCCCAGCAACGTCTCCGGCTCCCCGCAGCTCTGCAGCTCCCCGGACAGCAGCGACGTGTGGCGGGGCACGAGCATCGCCTCCCTCCGCCGCAAGGCGCTCGAGCACACAGTCTCCATGAGCTTCACCTAATGCAGCCGCCGCCGCCCGGCCCGCTCCGCCCGCCCCGAGGCCCGCTCCCCGCTCCCCCATCCCCGGGGGCGCACGCCCGGGACCCCGCCCTCTGCCCCGGCCCCTGCCCGCGCGCCCCGCCTCGCCCCGCCCCGGCCTCCGCCACGTCTCGTTCAGTCCTCCCCTCTCTCCACCAGCTCGGCCCGCCCCAGCCCCAGCACACTAGGCGCCCCCTCCGCCTGATTTCGATCGCCCAAGTCCCCCCTCCCCCGCCACCCGTCTAACGGTACCACCGGGTGACCTCCCTCCGCCCCATCTCCAGCGCCCACCCCGCGCCCCCCTTTCCCGCGGCGCAGGCCGCCCCGCCCGCTCGCTCGCGCCAGTCGTGCCCGCGCCCTGCTCCCGGCCTCCGGACCCGCGGGTGCCCGTCCGCCCCGGCACCACGGCGCCCAGCCCCCTCCGTCCCCACGACACCCACGGCCCCCTCCTCCCACGAAAGCATCTTTCCCGCCATTTTACTGACCAGGGAGTCGACTCAGGATCTGAAATCAGACACCAATGGACTGGTTTGTGGGCAGAAACACACACACTAGCACTCTCGCTCACTCTACACGCTACCCACACATGCACACACCACACACACACACACACACACACACACACACACAGAGTGCACCTAGGCCACACACGGACGTGTTCAAGGGACAGCACAATGTGACGGATTTTTGTCTTAAGGGAGGACAAGCATCTGCTACCAACCGCCTCATCCGAGGGCCCAAGTGATACAATGTTATTTACCCTTATATTCTTTCTCCTCTTTGTTTACTTTCCCACCACCTTACCCTTGCCCCATTACCCAGTCACATCCATGCAACCCTCGATTGGCTTGCAAAACAAAACAAAACAAAACAAAAAACAAAAAAAGCAGCTTTTATTTTCTCTTATTTTCTTAAGCACACCTGTGTGAGGGTACTGACGGGAAGGCGCCTCAGGAGGACCATGCCAGTGGGTTGGGTGGCTGGAGCAGACGAAAGCAGTCACGTAACGAAGAGGTGATCTCCTCCGTTTTGATAATAAAAAGTAATAAAATAAAACATGTAAGGGAAAAATCTCCTTTTGTAAAAGCAAAAGCCACATCTCTCTTCTGGATCCTTGGGACAGGGGTTTATTTGCTTCTCCATTCCTCCTCGCTGCTCCGTGCCCTTGGTGGTTTCGTGGTCGCGTCCTGTCGTCCCCCGCGCCCCTTGGCCGCCGCCCACGGGTGCTCCCGGACACCCGCAGCCCTGCACACCGTGTACAGAGAACCGCAGCCAGCTCTTTCTTCTGCATGTGCCGGCCACGCCGAACCCGGAGAACAGACAGCGCTTTCCAAGAATGAACAAACCTGTGAAATAGGATGTTTTGTGTAGATAAAGCATTCTCGTTACATACTGGTTAACTCGTGATTATATGTTTTAACTTATCGTCTGTGCTCCTTTATGGAATTTGGTTGTTTTCTTAATAAATGTTTGAGCTCATAGAAAGCCTATTGACTTTTCCGGACACGTTTCTATCAACGTTCAATGTAAATGGATACAATAAAATCATTTTCGGTATGTGACACGGAGAATGGCGGGTGTCGGTGTGTGACTTTGGGCAAACGGGAAGAGAATGCGTCCCGGAGAGTCCCCATGGGCGCGCGTGGGCCGCGGCCACCCTGCGGGGGGCTTGGCTTCGTCTGGGGGCTGCACGGCGGCCGCGGCCGGAACTGAGAGGTGGCAGCGCCCAGCGAGCTCGAGGCCTCGCGAGGCTTGGGTGAGGGGGGTGGGGGGGGGCGGCCCGTGGCTCCCAGCCCAGCCGGCCCAGGGCCGCAGCTGCCGGTGCTAATGGCACGGGCCGGGCGCTGATGGGCTCCCCACGTGCAGGGCTCCCGCCTAGAAAGCCGAGGAGGGCGGCCGCTGCCCCGCGGCGTGGTGCGAGGGCGGGCTGTGGGCCGCAGGAGGGCCGCCGCGAGGGGAGCTGGGGGCCTCGAGCGGTGCCGGGGGCGTCGTCCAGCCCTGCGCGTGGTCCCAGGTAGGCGGGGTGGAGGGGGGAGGGTGGGGAGAGACAGGCCGGCTCTCTCCTCCCCAGGGCCTAGGCCTCCGGTGGCAGGAGGAGATGCCTGGCAGCTGTAGGCATCGCTTCTGGTACCCAAGGCTTCCCACCCCGGGGCAAAGGGCGTGTTGGGGGTCCCAGTGTCCTCCTGACCTGGGGGCCAGTCCGCGGGCCCGAGGCCTGGTTTTCTTGGTTCCGAACCTGGTTCCAGCTGACCTTGAACTTGGGCTTGTGCGTGTTGACATACAATATCATATTCGTTTCAGGTGTACCACCTGGTGATTAGACACTTACATATGCTACACAGCGACCACCCTAAGTCCGGTGTGGGGGTGTGTTTGAACTTGGCTTCCTTTGGAAGACTGACCAAAGTGCAATCAATGGTCAGTACAGGCTGTGAGCCGCGCCCCTGCCCATGGGGAGATTTCTGGTTTGGTTGCCACAAAGTGTAAACCCTAAAGAAACCCTTGTCCTCGAACACCGTTTTGAACCACTGGGCTACATGTGAACTTTAGGAACTGTTGTAATTGTTACTCCACTGAGATAACACAGTGGAATCTTCTCGAAGGTAAGGACAAAAGGCATGCTTTTCTGTGATAAAGAAAAATATTATATGCTACCTTAGGAATTTTAATTGTAGGTAAAATTTTGGTTAGTGGGTTCACAGAACATTTCACCTCTACATTTTCTAAAGGGTATCTTTGATAGGTTAAAATATTAAAAAATGTTCATCTGGAATTTTATATAAAAATGGAACATCTCTACAGTTTAGAACTCAGCCTAGAATTTAGGAGCATAATAACCACATTTCTAAAACATCTGTAGGTAAAATAAAAATACTTTTCCTTATTTTAAGAATTTTATCATATTCTCTCTTTTTTTAGGCTAGTGCTTTTTTTTTTAATTTGAAATCATACATACTGTAATCTGAAGTCACATTTAAGAGATCAGTACAAATCACAGATTGCTTCACCAGGGAACATGGAAGGTTGTTTACAAGGATGCTAATTTTTACAGCTTTTTTTTATGCTGCTATAAAGCATAACTTTATGATGTAGGAATGCAATAAAAGATGCTAAATGGAATCTTTAAAAGTTGTATTTCTCAAAAGCAAGGGAAATGGGATCTTTCATTTGAAAAAAAAAATGAGCCAACTTAGAACACTGATGAGAAGTTACAAATCAACTGAAGTGATAGATGCTTTCAAAGATACTTATATTTCATAATATAGTGGTTAGTTATTATTATTAGAATGAAAAAGTACAGAGTTTTTCACTTGACCTGACTGGAATAATATTTGGTTTCTATGGCAATAGATTTTTGTATTAAGAATGTTGAACATTTTAATGTCATATATACTATTAGCATAAGGGAAGGCAACCTGGCCTAAATTGTTAAAGTTGACAGTTAGCAATGGTAAAAAACAGAAAATATTATCTCATTTACAAGCCTGAACAATTTAGCAGTTTGAGGAAGAAAAAAACAAAAACCCAACAACAGAATAATACTTCATACTATTTTTTTACTCCTTATCAGCAGCAATTCTGATTTAAAATTGTTAAAGTTATAATAAGAAACAGTTACATTCAATAAGGGAATAAAGACAGTAATGATGAATAATATCAGAACCCAAGGTAGATAAGTCAACATGGTAGATGTCCTGCCTCTAATGAATTGTACTTTTTGCTAAGTAGCCTGTTTGGCATTGAAAACTGTCACCAGTGCTAACTAGGAGAAGTCAAAGTGTATTATGATTTAGCTGTATGATTGATTTATTTGAGTACATATATTCATCCTTGCATCTTTATGTTCTCCTTAATATTGGTACTAAATATCATACATGGCATTAAGTGATGACATTTAATAATGTTGCACTTAGTTTACCTTTTGTTGATGGTTGAAGAAATAGGATATAGGAATTCAACCTGCTAAAGATGATGTTAGGTATTGAATACAAAATGGGACACAGAGCAATTTCAGTAAATCAAGGTAGTTGTGAATGGAGAACACAGAAGAAATTCTAACTTTGGGGCAATTGATGTTGAAAACCCTCAATGACTGCTTCCCCTGAAAATGAAAATGTCTTTAATTTGTGTCGTGCAGTTTACATTTTAATTTTTAGAATAAAGAAAAAACTTAGCCCACAAAGATGTCTTCTAGTAATGGCAGTAGTTAACCTGTCAGTTGAAGGAATGTAACCTTCCTTTTCTCCTTTTCATGACATAAAGGTAATCTCATCTGAGGGCATTTATGTGAAGGAATAACAGCATGGCATGGTGAAACGACTGGCTCATTAATCCTGGCATCTCCTTCCTACAGGGTTCCTTGATTAGTTAGATTCATTCATCGGGCATTTCAGAGTTTCTGATTTGTCACCATTGGATAGGTTCACTGAGTTCAGGCTAAATTGAGCCAGAAGCAATGTTTATTAGTAATTTTGTTGTACAGGCTATCCTAATAATTCAGCCCAAATATCTCATCAGAAAAATATCCATTCACCCTCGCTTCTAATGTGGATTGCAGCTGTGTTCATAGGGAATTGAAAGAACACAAGTGATTGGGCATGTATTTTCTAAATTATTAATATGGTGGCTAATAGCTATCAACTCATCTTCATATCCAATGCAGAAATTACGATTTATTTTAAAAATGAAAGCAGCAATAAAGGGTTGGGGGTGGGGTGGGGGGTGGAGGGTGTCACCCCTTGCCTGGATCTCTGCTAACTCTTATCAGTGCAAAGCTTTTGTACAGGAGCCTTGGCCTGTTTTGTGTGTGGTCATTACAGAGAGAAACAGGACAATGCCTTTTGCTTTTCCTCATGCATGCTCTACCAAAACCCAGCATGGATTTTATCACACTTACTAGAAAATGCTTTTAAGGAATTTCAGGCATGAGCTACACAAGAGAGGGCCCTCTTTTGATTTTGACAATGTCATAAAAATGTAAGCAGGCGTAATTACTTGTGGAGTTAAGCTGCATCTTCCATCCACATGATCAAATATCCCATATACCCAAGCTAAAAGCCACACTGGATTTGAGATA